TTTTCCTCTTGAAGGAAAACAATATATGCATAAGCTGCCCTATTTGCATGGCAGTGCTGCCCACAGACCCCTGCCCACAGCATCTGTTCATCCCTGCCACAGCACCCTTGCCACAGCCTGGCAGCACACACAGGGCCCCTCAGCCACCAGAAACCAGCCGACCCAGAGGATGGGCACAGCAGAGCCCATCACTTTCATGGCTGTCACCAGCAGCTTGTTTCATCTGCAGCAAGCACAGGTTTCCATGAAACCAAGAGAGCACACAGTTTTCCAGATAAACACAAGATGTTTAGCCGTGTATCCTGGTTTGGGGAGTGCTGTCTGCCCACAGGAAAGAAAAGCCAGTGTGTGGAGACTAGCCCAAAGCCAGCACAGGGGGGAGCAGCAGTGTGAGGCCTTGCAAGGCTATAGGCTGGGGGCAGGAGCCATGCAGGGCTGGGTGCAGCCCATGCCTCCTGCTTTTGGCCTTTGCTTCATCTCTTGGATCCTCTCCTGGGCACAGAAGCCTCCTCTGAAGTGGATGCTGCTTTCCTACCTCCGGCCAAAGCAGGGACATCTGTCCCCTGCCCAGGCAGACCTAGCCCAGCCCTTGTGCCACCACGTGGCTGCTGATGGGTCCTGGGCCCTGGCAGGCAAAGTGCCCTTAGCTGTCCTGGCAGCAAACTCTAGGAGACATTTGCACATTTGCTTGTTCTGCTTTTTTCCCCCCTCCCTTCCCAATTTATCCCCCAGCATTTACAGGAAGCCTCATTGATTGCAGCACCGGCTCCCGCTGAAGAGGGAGGAATCCATTGCAGTGAATTGGTGCAGACGAGCACAGCAAAATCCTGCCTTGCACTGCCTGCTGCTCTCAGACAGGGAACAGTCCTGACCTCATTGGGGCAGCAATGCTCATTCCCTTGGTCTGGGGTCAGGGCAACTCAGTCGCACTGCTGGGGACGCAGGGATGGGGGTGACCCCCTGGCACACACAGAGCTCACAAAGCCTCGGGTCCTGCAGGACCAAGGTCTGGTTCTGCTGCCTAAGGAGATGGTTTTACTCCTGGGACATTGTTCTGTAAAACTCACTGTATCTGCCTCCCCAGGGATATAAAAGCAGGGTGATTCCCAGCAGGCACAGCCAGAGCTGATCTGGCTCAGGAGCCTGGCAGAGCCCTGGGGTTCACCTGGACACAGGGCTCACATGGAGAGAGAGAACACAGGACACTAACCCAAAACAGGGATTCACTGGCTGAATGCTTCTGCGTGGCCATCCCCAGTGCTTGGATAAAGTACTGCCCTGTCACCCCACCAATAACTGCTGCAGATACGGGGCAGCACCTCTCAGAAAGGTGATGGTCACACAGATGTGTATTTTTTAGGTTTGCTCTTGACCAGTGTGCCCAGACCTCTGTTCCTCGTTTTATTTTCCAAAGCACAGATTACTGTGAAAGAGTTTAATCAAACTTACAGAAGAGGAACATTTGGCTGCTGGGAAGACTTTCCTGGGTAAAGTTCTTATCAAAACAAACCTGCAGTCACCACACTGTGGCAGTGACTCCTGCTATACAACACCAAATTACAACAGCCTTTTTCCCCAGCTGGCCATCACCCCCAAAAGCACTTACAGACTGTGAGCTGTCCTTGCTGTTATCCCTTGACTTGTTCTTCGCAAGCCTCTTCTTCTTCTTGTGCAAGGGCCTGGACTCCAGGATCATCTCCTCCAGCTCGAAGGTGGGGTCGCAGTGCAGGCGGCCCTTCTGCCGGGACACACAACACGGCACTGCACAACAGGCACAGCAGAGGCTCCTCCTCACAGCCAACACACTCAGGAACTACTTCTCGGCCAGAAAGCCCCTGCTG